ACAGGGCCGGCCCTCCTTCTTCCCTTTTAAGGCTGAATACTATTCCATTCTATGTATATACTAGATTTTGCTTATCTATTCATCTGTCAATGGATACAAGTTGCTTTCACATTTTAGCTACTGTGAATAATGCTGCAATGAACATGGCTGTACAAATATCTCTTTGAGAACTTGCTTTCAATTCTCTTGGGTATGTACCCAGAAGTGGAATTGCTGGACCATATGGGAAGTCCACTTTTAATTTTTTTAGGAACCGCCATACTGTTTTCCATAGCAGCTGCACCATTTTACGTTCCCACCAGCAGTGCACAGGGGTTCCAATTTCTGTACATCTTGCCAATACTTGTTATTTTCTGTTTTTTTGATATTAGCCATCCTAATGGATGTGAGGGGGTATCCCTAATGATTAGTGATGTTGGGCATCTTTTCATGGGCTTATTGGCCATTTGTATAGCTTCTTTAGAGAACTATCTATTTAAGTCCTTTGCCTATTTTTGAATCAAGTTGTTTTAGTTCTCTATATATTCTGATATTAATCTCTTATCAGATATATGATTTGCAAATATTTTCTCTCATTCTGTGTGTTGCCTTTTCGCTGTTGATAGTGTTTTTTTCTGTGTGTGTGTGAGGAAGATCAGCCCTGAGCTAACATCCATGCCAGTCCTCCTCTTTTTGCTCAGGAAGATTGGCCCTGAGCTCACATCTGTGCCTATCTTCCTCCACTTTATATGGGATGCTACCACAGCATGGCCCGACAAGCGGTGCATCAGTGCGCGCCCAGGATCCGAACCCGGGCCACCAGCAGTGGAGTGCGCGCACTTAACTGCTACGCCACGGGGCTGGCCCCGTTGAGTGTTTTAATGCACAAAAGTTCTTAATTTTCACGAAGTCCAATTTGGCTATTTCTTTCTTTTATTGACTGTGCCTTTGGTCCAATCTCCAAGAAATCATTGCCAAATCCAATGTTATGAACTTTTGCCCTGTATTTTCTTCTAAGAGTTTTGTAATTGTCACTCTTACATTTAGGTCTTCGGTCCATTTTGAGTTGATTTTTCTATATAGTGTTAGGCAAGGGTCCAGCTTCATTCTTTTGTATGTGGATATCCAGTTTTTCCCACCAACATTTGTTGAAGACTCTTACCCCCAGTGAAAAGTCTCGATACCTTGTCAAAAATCATCTGACCAGGGTTTATTTCTGGGCATTCTATTCTATTCTATTCCATTGGTCTGTCTGTCTTTACGCCAGTGGTCATTCAGACTTCTCTCTTATTGAAGACAACTAAAAAAGATGGACAAATACATATATTTTTTTTCTTAAAAGCATTAAACAGCTAACAAGATAACTGTCAATAATTGATCCAAGATCAAAGAGAGGACGGAGATCTACAGATGAGCTTAACAGCAGATTAGGCCTAACACTTTCTCCTGGGGATGTTTGCTAGTACTAAAAAGGGAGCTGGGGAATGAGCTATGCTTTCGGCAGCCTTGTGGGGTTAGGGAGACAAAGGTTGAAGTACAGGCCCTCCAAGGTAAGCATGAAAGATGACCTTGGAGGGCTGGTGGTACTTTAGGAATAAGGTGAACGAGAAGCAACTCAGACCTGACAGACTGCACCTGGGCTTTGAAGCATCTGGGTGCTTCAGAAAATCCTAAACTCTGAAATTGAATTAAGGTGGTTTTGAATGTTTAGTGCCTCTAGGCACCTGGTAGGAAAAAAACAATCCTCCCGAGAGGAAGATATCCTTCTAGGTCTCAAATTATTTTCTCATATAGATGTGTCAGGCATACTAGCAAATGTAACCAAGCACCAAAGAGGAAAAACATCCTGAGTGAGAATCAACAGAAACTACAAATAGAAACAGATTCCACAGAGACTCTAAACAGAAGAGTTTCCAGACACAGTCTGTAAAGAAATTATGCTTACTATGTTAAAGACAGAAAAGCCAAGCTTGACATTTTCAGCAGGGAACTGGCAACTATAAAATAAAAAAATGACATGACAATTTTGAAAAGAAGCAAATAGAAATTCTAGAACTAAAAAAATACAATAACTGAAATTAAGAAAATGGTTAGGTTTAAAAGTAGATCAGACATAGCTGAAAGAAAATCAATTACAAGGCAGGGCAGAAGAAACAATTAGGTATACAGCACTGATAAACAAAAAGATGGAAAATAGAAGAGGCAAAGACACATCAAGGATACAGTGAGAAGGACCAGCAAACAAATAATTGGCGTCCCAGAAACAGAGGAGAAAGAATGGGAACAGGCAATATATGAAGAGATAATGTTGAGAATTTTTCAAAACTGATGAAAAGATATCAATCCAGATCTAAGAAGCCCAATGAATGCCAACCAAGACAAATAAAAAGAAATCCACACTTAGACATATCATAATGACATTGCAGAACACCAAAAGCAAAGAAAAATCGTTTAAGGTGAGATAGCCAGAGAAATAACATGAGCCTCAAAGGAGCAACCGACTGACAGCTGACTTCTCAACAGCAAAAACAGTACCCAGAGAATAGTGAATCAGCTTTCTCATGTGAAGAAAGAAAATAACTACCAATTGACAATTCCATACACAGTAAGAAACTCAACGTGAATTCACAGCATGGGGAGAACAGGATAGGAGAAAACAGTAACAAAATTCTGAAATTTAGAAAGCAGATGGACAGGTAGAAACTGACTTTAGATCCGAGAGAGTGGAATCCTAAGCTAGCTAGTGGGGAAAGTTCAGAACCATCACAATCTACACAGCAAAATCTTGACAAAATCTCTCACTCTTAAAGATAAGGAGTGTTAAACATTAAAGGAAAACCTCGTAAGTGAAAGAAAGACCAGAACAAAGAGGAAAAACAAAAACAAACTAGAGAAAACAGGACAATGCAGCAAAAAGAAAACAAAAACCAGCAACAAAAAAAAATTGTAATAAATATCCTTAAAATGGTGTCACACCCCTGAAACAAGATTGGGATGTGTGCAGATTATGTGTCTATTGGTTCTCTAAGCTCCATTCTCACCCTTTCAAATTCTCCTCCAAAACATAAGTGTTTAGAAGGTGACCAATTATGTTCCCAGACTCCCTTGCAGCTGCTTCTGGTTAGTTTCTGCCAATGGAAAATGCTGGTGGGGCCTGGAAGAGGGGAGGAGAAAGGAGACATTTTTCTTTCATGCTTTGGTAGAGACTTTGGCAGCAGCAGGAGACGATAGGAGCTTCCTCAGCATCAGTGGGGGTTTCAGCAGCATTGGTTGGAGTGGGGACTCCTGAGTCCCTGCTCAGGAGCAGTGGTGTGCTTCTACCGCAGTGGTGGAGTGGGGGCAGGGCCACACTCCCAGCAGAGCAGTGGTGAGCGTGGGCTTCGGGCATCACAGCTCCTCTTCGCTTCTGTTCTTCCAGGCCTCCCGAAATTATTTAACCAGTCGCTTCCATTAAATTCCTCATTGCTTGAAATATCTAGATTGTTGTTGTTTTTTTTTTTTTGTGAGGAAGACCAACCCTGAGCCCTGATCTGTTGCCAATCCTCCTCTTTTTGCCGAGGAAGATTGGCCCTGGGCTAACACCCTTGCCCATGTTCCTCTACTTTATACGGGACGCCACTACAGCATGGCTTGACAAGTGGTGCGTCGGTGCGTGCAGGGATCCGAACCTGAGAACCCTCGGGCTGCTGAAGCGGAGCATGTGCACTTAACTGCTACGCCACAGGGCCAGCCCCTGGTTTCTGTTTTTTTGAGTAAACAGTAACTGATTGGGCTGCTATAAAAAAAAAAAAATTCAAAAAAATAAGAGTTCCTAGATACTAAAAATGTGAAAGCAGAGATAAAAAATTTAATGGAAAGGTTAGAAGATTATGTTGATGAAATCACCCAGAAAGCAGAGAAAAACAAAAACAAAACTCCAACAATGTAAATGACCAAGTTTACAGTAAATTGCAACCATATCATATAACGTTATCATGATGTAAATCACTTATTCTCATGTTACTGTCTAAATACCATGTGGTGCTGAGAGCACACATCCTGCCTGGTATTTGAATGTGACATGTGTAAATGTGTTGTAATGGTGTCCTGGTTACAATTTTGAGAGCAGAGAAGTGTCAATTTAAAGAAAACTAGAGGAAGACTATAATCTTCTAATTAATAACACTCTAACAAGAACTTTAAATATATTCACAGGTAGATAAACTTTATTTGAATGTTGCATAAATATGAGTTGATGTCAAACAGGAAGAGGTTTTTCCAAAGGGATAAAATTTATTAAACAATAGAACTTGGTCCTTTCCTTTAGCTTGTCTCTGAATTCAGTTGACTGACACATCATTATTTGTAGTCCGCCCTCACATTTTTACCACACACAAAATCTAAAAATCTCCAGGTGGCACTTCCCATTTCTCTGGGAATCTCTTAAATTGTTTCAGTTACAACAGAAGGGCAAGGTTCTTATCTGCTCATCCATCGGAGGCAAAAACACATCCCCCAATTCTCTTGTTTAAATTGTGGCTGATTGCAAACAGTGTGCAAATGAAGGACTTAATGTTATAATATAGTCTGTATGCTGTACCAGTAACTTCGCTTTAAATTTTTTTCATTAAAGACTTATTTTTATTATCTTTCCACAGAGAACTTATAAAAATACCTGTAAAAACATTGAAGAGGCACCTTAAAATCCTGGAATGAAAAGTTCTAAAGTACAAATTATGATACATCTTCTATGATTTAAAATAAGAATAAATTCTACAAGCTAGAATTTCTGAATGATTTTGACAGGAATTTACTAGAAGAAACCAGAACATCGAACCTTAAAGATTTTTTATTTTAACCCCAACTGAGTTTTTTAAAAGCTATGATTTGTTGACAGGCACAGTCCACACAGGAACTTGCTGCTGCCACTAGTAATACGAAGGACAGAGATTTATATGCTAGACCTGCCAGGCTGTTCCATGCAACTGAAAAGAGAAGTGGGCTTCTCTTATTTTTTAAATAAAAGTAAATATACATATGGTAAAAAATTTAAATGGTACAGAAAGATCTAAAATAATAAATATCCTCTTTTTTCCATAACCCAGAAAATCTAATGTCTTCAAAATCATATGAATAACTAAACAGTCATGTGAATAATTTGCAAATTGAAGTCAACATTGGAGTCTATTTGAAAAGAATTCTCAGGCCTTTGGAAGTGTGTTGATTTTCTCATATATTACCCCTGTTGCAGAGGAAAGCCACGCAGTCTTCTCCTTAAAAAAAACAATTACAAAAGCAACATGCCCACTCTACTCAGAGACAGCAAGTCCAGGCAGCATCTCATAGTCCATGGATCTGGTCCTGGCTCCAGACAGAGTCCCGGCTGTCATCCCTGAAATTTAGGAATTACATTTACTAACCAGGTATTTTCAAAAGTAAGACAACTTTCTCTTAATCAAAATGAGATCATCTGGTCCTTGTAAAATGGAGAGGCTTAACTCCGTCAGAGATTTGGGTCATCTGGTCATTACTTAATAGAAAAATATCTTTATCCAACATTGTACGAAAGGGCAGGAGCCACAGAGTCCCAAGCATTCAAGTTCAAACCAGGTCAAAACTGTTCTAGAGGACAAAGGGAAGCCAAGACAGCAAGGGACTAAGGACGGAGAAGGGAAATTCCTTCAGAGAAGCTCCCACTCCAGTGATGAGAAGCTGGACATTTTTTCCCCAAAGTGCACTCACTCCCTGGCGAGCAGGAAAGGCTTACAGGCACTGGGGCAGGAGCTCAGCCGAGCCCTTCCTCAATGCCTCGGATCCTCCTGGCCAGCTGCACATCCTTCGGGAAGAGAGTAACTCGGCCGGCATGTAAGGAGAGCAGATAGGCGTCCTCAAAGAGATGAACTAGAAATGCTTCTGCTGCCTGGGGGCAGAAAGAGAAGGAGAAAGACTAACACAGACAAGGGGGCATGGGCTGCATTCTTCTTGGAGACCTGCTAAACTTAGTCTCTGAGGGCTCAAAGGACTGTCGGAAAAGACTGTTCACAGAATGAGAATGAACTTAGCCTGGGAATTTTGCTACCACCAAACAAGAATCCAGCCTCCAAACCTAGAGTGTTCCTTGTTGCTCATTTCAAGGAGGCAAGATTCAGTGTGTGACATGCCACCGTCAGCCCTGGGGAATTCCAGAACGCCTTTCTCCCATACTCACCCCTCACCCAACTGTACCTTGGCTGCCTTCTTACCTCTTGTAGGGCCAACAGGGCCTGGGCTTGCCAACTGAAGTCCACACCACGAGTGAATGTAACACATATTTCTCTTGCCTGTGAAGGAGTGAGGTTGGGGAGCAAGCAAGAAGGGGAGTGGCCAGGAGTAGAGAATAAAAGAAGAGAGACTCAAGGGAAGAGAGACTCTCTCCATGAATCTTCATTTCCGTTATACCTTCCTGGGCCTTTATCTTAGGACCTAACTAGTAGCTGGTGTCGTCTCCTGGGAGCTTCGGAATTGGCATGTCTCTTCTCAGTGGTGGGAAGAGGAGGAGGCCATCTCCCAGGGTAGGACAAGGGATGAAAGGGTGGATGGATGAGAGAGTTCCTATTTACATAATCAAAGAGCACAGTTTCAAAGGTGGTAGGGGTTAGAAATTAATTCCATAAAGAATTGGAAGGTGCCTTTGGTGGGCTCATGTTTTCAGAAGATGAAGAGTCCCCCACCAGGTTAGAGAAGAGGTCCCTTGGCCATGTGGGCAAGAGACAATAGGGTCCCCAATACCTGGGTTCAAAGAAAGGAGTTGCCATGGGGGTTGGTGGGAAGCTCCCCGGAGCTCACCAGGCGGGCGAAGGGGCTCTTCCTTAACAATAGGTGTGTGCTCTTCTGAAGCTTTCGGATCTCACTCAGAACCTTCGCGTACCTCCGGCGACCACGTGGACGGGAGGAAGTGCCTGAGTGAAAGAGTTGGGTCATGAAGGTAAAGTGTGGTGGAAAATAGGTGGTGCCTCGCAGTCTGGCTGTCACACTATCAAATCGTTAGACCGTAATATGCTCCACAAAAGCAGGGATTTTTGTCAATTTTATTCACTGCGGTTATCTTCAGCAACTGGAAAACAGCAGAGAGGTGCTAAGTAAATACTGGTTAAATGAATGAATGAATGATCCTCAACAATGACGCTTTGAGGGGATTATCTTAAATGCCAACTCTTCTATGCAACCTTTCCTGACTCCCAATCGCTTCCAAACTGATGGGTCACCTCCCTTCTCTGGGCCCCACAGTACTTTCTGCATCTCTTTGTTCTTTCCCACCTAGATTGGAAACTCAGTTATTTTGTTTTTAGGTCTTTTTTTAAGAGCTGGAAGGAATCTGAGAATTACGTAGTACAATTCGCTTGTGTCAGTTATCCTGGGGCCCAGCGAGGTGAAGACAGTGGGCCAGAGTTCATTGGCGGCCAAGGTGGGGCCTCAGAAGTGGCATAACTCAGTGCCAGTGTCGGGTCGCTGGGCCATGCAGTCAGAGCCTTTGGCTCAAAGCCTAGTTTCAACAACAACAACAAAGAAAAAATTCTTCTAACTCTGGTGTTGAAGAGGAAACTTAATTGAAATTAGACTATTTAGAAATAAATAAAAATAAAAAATCTACATCTCAAAACTTATGAGATATAGCCAGACAGTACTAGGGGAAAATATATAGCCTCAAAATCTATCTATTAGAACACAAGAACATTAAAAGATAGCTGAGCTAAGTGTTCGACTCAAGTGTTAGGAAGAGAATTATTAAAATAAACCAAAAGAAGGAAGAGCAAAGAAAATATTAAAGGTAACAGAATTAATGAAAAAGAAAGTAAAACAAAAAACAGTATAGTTGCTCCCTAAATTGAACCAAGGACCAATAAAAATGAATGAACCTCCAGTAAGTTGAACAAAGAATAAAAAGGAAAAAACAGAAAAATTAACGTTTTGAAGGATAAAAGTAGCTTCAGCAATGTTATTCGAGGTCCACCAAGAAAACAGAATCCACACCAGGTAGTTCAACAGAAGGGATTTAACACAGTGAACTAATGACCAAGCGTTGGAAGAGCTGTGAGAACAAATGGGGACGGTGGGGCACTCCGGAGCCGCCTGGGCCATGCAGCTGCCAGTGGAGACGATCCTTGGGTGGGGAATGTGGCCAAAGACACAGGGCAGTGTCCAGGAGACTGGTGACATTCAGGAGAATGAGGGAGGCCTTATGCCCAGGAGATAAGCCACAGGTACCTGCGTCCCTCCTCGCCACCAGTCAGCAACGCGGTCACTGGAAGCAGCCTTTAATCAACAGGCAGAGCAGTCCCAGACAAGATGAACACAACTGCAGATCACCACAAAACCTAAGAAGGCCAACATCGTGAAAGGAAGGAACCAAACTCAACAAACGAAATAACCTTTACCAGAGGAATCCGAGTTGATAGAGAAAAGAGAGCAAGACCTGGAGAGAAATATACATAATAACCTCAGAAGAGTCGTAAAGGAAGACAGGAAATCTATGACCCAAGAACAAGCGGTTATGAAAAGTAACCAATTAGAGAGATCATGGGAAAGAACTGGGATTCAACATTCCACAGTTGCGTCCTGGAATGCCCACACAAGGAGTTGGGGTTTAATCCTAAAGTTATGGGAAGCCATGGAGTCTGAAGCAGGACGGAGAGGCGATCCACTTACATTTTAAAGATCACTCCAGCTGCTGTGTAAGGACAGAACTGGAGAGGGATGCGGGTGGAAGGAAGTGGAGGAGTGGCTGGGCTAGGATGCTGCTGGCTTGGACTCGGCTGATGGGAGCAGAGATGGCAACAAGAGGGGAGATTAAGGATGCAATGTGGAGGCAGAATTGCCCGATCCAGGGTCGAAGGATATTTCTACATCGGAAAGCAACAGCAAACATCATACTTAACAACATTCCTGTTAAAATTACAAGACAAAGACGGCCAAAACACTGCTCCTATTTCAACACTAGTCTTAGGGCCTCCACAGTACCATACAATAAGAAATAAAACGTACAAATAGGAAAAAGAAGATTCGAAAGTCATTATTTGCAGACCATATAGTAGCCTATTTAAACATTTCAACTGGAGCAACTGAAAAACTATTAGGATTCACAAGAGAATTCAGCAGGTTGGCTGGATGCAAAGGTTATTTGTTTAGAAAAGAAAAAAAAATCCCGTTCACAGCAGCAACATCTATAAATAATCTATACTTTTTTCACCCTGCTCTTAGCCATGCAGCAGAAGACAAGTAAAGCGGTTGCTGCCACAGAGCCCAGTTCTTGCCAGTGGGTCTCCCACCCACCAGACCACAGTAGAGAAACTGAGGACCACAAACCAGTCTTCTTTCCGGCACATAACCTCGGGAAGGGAACAAGGTGAGAGCACCGCTTGAGTTAGAGCATGTTGGTTAAGGCCCAACACAGCCACTCACTGAAGAGAAAAAACAAAAAAACCTGGAAGGGTACCTTCGTCCTTCTTTTTTTTTTTTTGCTGAGAAAGATTCGCCCTGAGCTGACATCCACGCCAATGTTTTTCATTTTGTATGTGGGCCACTGCCACAGCATGGCCACTGATGAGCGGTGTAGGTCTGCACCCCTGGACCAGAACCTGGGGCTGTCGAAGCAGAGTGCACTGAACTTAAACCCCAGGCCATGGAGGCTGGCCCTGGAAGGGCACTTTCTAAAAGCAGAATTGTTGTTTGAAATCGTCACAAAAAGCAGCCAATAATTTTGCAATTTAAAAAAGCACAAACACTGATTTTGAAAGCCCGGTATCTGCCGGAACAGGCGGTGTGACCTTGTTCAAGTCACCTGGCCTGTCTGCGCCTCGGTTTTCTCATCTGTAAAATGGGCACAATGTAACATTGAGATAATTCTCGTAAAGAGTTTAACACAATGTCTAGTTAGCGGTAAGCACTCCATAAATGCTAGTAGCATCGGGAAGAATTAGCACCAGCAGCCAGGCTGTCTGGGCCCGTCCTTCTCCTGCGCGGCACTGCCTTCCCCAGTCCCCGGGGCCGCGCCGAGCAGATGGGGGACGGCAGAACCGCGCTGGCCAGTGCAGAGGATGCTAGCGGACCCGGAGCCGGGGCATTCCGGCACAACCCCAGGCTCGGCACGCGACCTCGGTGTTCTCGTCTGCGAAACGGGCACGCGAGCCGGCCGTGCCCACCTCACAGCACGTGCCGGGAAGGGGCCGCGGCCGGTTACCTAAGGAGGCGGCCCGCCGGGGGCTGCCGGGGGCCGGGCTGGCGGCGCGCCTCCTCGGGACTTCGGGCTTGCGGCGCGGGCCCATGGCGGGCGCGGATGGTTGCGGCCCCGCGGCTCCTTCTCGGCCTTCGGAGTCTGGAGACCAAGGCTGGCGTCCGCGGGCGGCCTGGCAGCGCCCCGACCCGTGGCCCGGCGGTTGGGTGCTCCGCAGCCGCCACGCCGCCTCACGTTCAAAAGGCCCGCATCGCCGATTCCCTGCCGGCGTTTTTTAAAACCCGAATCCAGCGACTCTCAGTGGCTGCCTCTGGAACGCCCCGGCGCAGAGCGACTGCGGGAGGACCAATGAGAACACAGCCCGGGAGCCTGACGGCGGCGGTGATAGGAGGAGAGAGCGGGAACATGGCGGGGCCACGGCAGGACTCAGCCTATGGGAACTTGGAGAAGTAAAGGGAGGCGGGACCTTCTCCCGCCCTCCGCTTGCCTGTCGGGGTGCTCGTCTTTGAGGGGTTTGACCCGAGTCCTCGGGTGCCCTCTGGTAGGCAAGGGAAGGCTCGATTTTGAAGATGTAGATGGTGAGTTTGTAGAACGCGTTTCTCTAGACAAATCACTTTGCTCAAACATTTTATGTTTTGCCCTACCAACCAACCCAAGTCTTTACCTTGGATTGGGGATCAGAACCGGAGAATAATACCCTGTATCTTGATCTCGGTGGCTCTTTCCTCTCCTGACTTTATAACTAAAAGTAAACGAACACCACATCGCACTGACGACTTTGGATGTTTCTGTGATGCCCACGCTGACATCCCCCTTGGTTGTTCCATGGTCCTGGTGGGAATTCCAGTCCAGCTCGGGAAGGGAGCGACTCTCAACAGGCATGCTGAAGTGAACTATGTCTACCGTCCCGGAAAGCAGAATCTTCTTGAGTTCGCTGGCTGGAGCGGTACCTGGGGATACTCCGTGGGTCTACTGGCGATGGGGGCGAGAAGACCCACTCTGGTGGCGGCTTACACAATAGAAGACCCAACAGCCAGGGGCTCTGCAATGTGAGCCTCCTCCCTGAATGGCTCTTATATTCATCCTCACCCCCATTTCTCTAGTCCAGACCCTAATCAAGGGTGGTTTTACTGGTCTGTCTTCAGTACCTCTTAACGCCAATCAAACCTGTCTCCATATAACCACCAGGTCATCTTTCTAAACAGCAATTTGGATCATGTCGCCTCCCCTGCCTAAAACTCTCCATGGCACTCCACCGTCTAATGACAAGAGTTCTAATGCCTCAGCAGCACTGAGGGTACAACACTGTCTGGGCGCCTGCCCACCTCTCTGGCCTCTTCTGCGTTGCATGCTTACTGCCAGGCACACCAGTCCACTTACCTGCAGTTCTTGACTACATCGCCTTGTTATACGCCTTCACGTTTCCGTACGTTTTACAAGCTGTTCCATCCTGGAATACTCCTTCTCCTGCCCTCCAGCCCCCCAGCCTGGGACTCCTGCTCATCCTTCAACACCCAGTTCAAGTGGAGCTCTCTCTGACAGTTCTAGATGGAGTTAGCTGGTCTCTCCTGTACTACCTTCCCTGCACCTCATACAAAGGCCTCTTATTGCACATCACACTGTGCTGGAATTCTTTCTTTACATATTCATTTCTCCTGTGTTCTTTGATGGATCCACTCTCCTTGGAGCACATCAGTCCTCAATCAAGTTTGCTGAATTCTGGGATAGAAATCCTTATTAAATTTTTTTTGACAAGTGTTCTTAATGAAGAAGGGTGATCTATAAACTTTTATGGCTACATAGGGAAACCCCTGCTTACCTCGAGTTTTGAAAGGATGTAGCCAACAAAAGGCAATCTATAAGTGGCTCAGGGAGGTGAACACGTTTAGGAATGCTGAGAACCTCTCCTTTTTATAGGTAGCCAAGGTCTTGAGAGGTAACATGACTTGTCCAAGGCCATCCAGTCAAGGTAGAGGCAGGGCTGAGAACACAGCTCTCTGACGCCAGATTCTGCTTCTTTCTCCTACACAGGAGGCCCTTTGCTCCACTCCTCTGAAGTCCTCATAAGGGGTCAGAGCTCTGACCTCCTGAAGCGCTGTCTGCTTGTTCAACTATGCAGAGTCCTTTGGACAAAGTAAAGGCAAACAGAACCATTTGGCACGGGACTAAATCTCCGCCTTGTGGGCAGATTCCCGGTGGAGAGGAGCCTGAGGGCTACTCCCGGGCCTGGATGGCAGTCCTGGAGGAAGCTCCAGCCACAGGCTCCCCTAGGATCACTCTACGAGGACTAATCAGTTCACTATGTGGATGATTTAAATTACACTGTATTTGAACCGATGTTCAAATATTTGATAACCCATGGAGGTCTGTTATCAGTTATTCTGATTTTGGGGCTCAGGGCCTCCACGCCAAATGCCCACCATTCAGGGCTCCCTTACTCCACTCAGAAGAACAGTAGGCCACAGCTACAGACATTCCCCGCAACCCTCCAGACTCAGGAGAAGGGAGGTCCTTCCCCTTGCACATGACCAGCACAACACAGCAAGGCCTCTCATTCACCCTCAAAGCACCTCTGACAACAGGGTACAGTGGACACATCCCAGGGCCTGGGAGGGCACCTACTGCCAGCATAAAATTTTCTGGAGGCATCCTGTTTTAATTTATCATCAATATGAATTTCACATTCTACTCCATGATGGTTTGTTTTAATAAAACATTTCTCCTATGCTGAGCAAAACCGATGTTCTGTGCCGTGACAATGCTGGGACTTCAGTGCCCCCGATGGACCACTGTGGTGGACAGTGCAGCCCTACGTGACACTCTGCTGTGCGCTGGCACATACAGGCACCTTCAGTTTATCATCTTATGTAATTTTCACACTCATCCTGCGAGATGGAGGCTGGCTTTCTCATTTTGGAGATGTGAAGACCTAAAGCTCCAGGAGGTAAAGCAGGTTCCCTGAGTTGGTGGCAGGCCTGACAGGGTGTCCCTATGCTCTGCAACCCCTGACCACTGAAGTCCCATTATAGTTCCCCCCACCCCTTCAACATTAAAATCAACACAGTCTCCCATGGCAGCATTCAAATAAAGGCCAAGTGCTTCTCTAACACCCTCTGAAGCGGTTTGCATGGTTGAGCGCACAGGCTGGGCAGTCTGCAGCAGAGGAGCAGTCCTGGACTCTCGGTACAGGCCCCTGGCTACGCTCCCTGTGGCAGAATGGGGTGGGCAAGTACTGAGAACCAGGAAATCTGGCTTTGCGTGTCACTGGCTGTGTGACCTTGGGAAGTTCCTTCCTCTCTCTGGGCTTTAGTTTCTTCATCTGAACAATGAATGGTGGACTGGGTGATTTCTATGCTTTGGTACATTAGAGCTTTTCCATCCCAACATTCTAGACGCTATCCCCAGGAACGTTCCAACCCTTGTGCTCCTTCCCTCTTGTTAAAAAAAAGTCCATACTACCAATTTCCCTTTTTAAAATAAAGCCTAAAACAACATTCTAAGGCCCCAGTTTTTTGGACAAGGCAGCTGTAGTCCCCACCACCCTCACTCTCCATTTCCTTCTTCTGTGAGCTGGTGGGATGGAGAGGCCCTCCTCTCCCAACAAGCTGTAAGAACCTGCTGGATTCCCGCATAGTCTGAGGGCTTTGCTTGTCAAAGATCCCTTCCCCCAGAACCTATTTTAAGGAAGGCATTCAGTGTTTTGTTTTATGATTGAGCAGCCCAGGAAGATGGTCTGAGGCTCCAGAAACTACCACAGAGTGAGGAACACTGGAACAGAGGGCTGCTCAGCTCCCTGCAGTCCCTGATGCCAACCAGTCCCATCTCTTCTGGGTGGGGTTACCAGGAGGACAACAGCATAATGCTTCTATCCCAGCCACAGGAAATTCCCCCCAAAGACCCCAGGGAAACCCATATGGGAGGTGGGGGCCCAGGTGTGGAATCAGACAAACCTAGCTTAGAATGCTGGCTCCATGAGGAAGTCACTTAACCTTCTTGGGGCCACAGTTGCCTTGTCTGCACCCACCCGTGCAGGCTGCTATGAAAGTTAAGCACTTAACACAATGCCTGGGATACCAGAATTACTTTAAATGGTAGAATCCTGGTAAGTCCACCAACCTGGAGGGTTCTCTAAGAGTCCGGTTGGGAGGTAGGGGCTGAGGTCCAAATGTACTCTAGATCTCAGCCTATGGCAGGATCATGTGGCTGCATGGCCAGAGCCTACAGCAAGAGAGCCCTCCTGCCAAACAATACACAACCCTAGGCCTCAGTTTCCTCATCTTTAAAATGGAGGTAAAGACATCCTAAACGCTGTTATCAAGGGCTGCCTGGAATTCTGGCTGTAATCCCTCTCAGTCAGGGAAGACTTGAGGGTGTGTGAGCAAGGACATCAAAACAGGCTTGGGGAGGAGGCACTGTGGGCAGAGGGGCATTTCCAATAAATGGGCTGTTACTCCTTTCCCAGGTAGGTCAAAATCGTAGGCCTACAAACTGTGTCCAGCTGGGGCTGGAAGGCACTGAAGCCACAGCGTTGATACCTTCTGCTTTACAGAGCAGGACACCAAGGCCCAGAGCGACCAGGTAATGGGCTAGGGAGCATACACGAGTCTGCTGCACAGCCCGACTGAAACCTAGGTCTCCAGACAGGGTTAGGGTATATCTTACAAGTTTTAGAAAATACGGTGCTTAACTTTCATTCTCTTGCATAACAACCTGCACAGGTGGGTGCAGACGAGGCACAGGTGGGTGCGGATGAGGCAATCGTGGCCTCAAGAAGGTTAAGTGACTTCCTCGTGGAGCCAGGCAGGGGTCGGTCACTGTCCTCAGGCCTGTGGGGGGCTGGGTAACACCTCTCTGCAGGGGGTTGTGACAAAGGAGGACCAGGGTATCATGTCATGTTCTGTGGCAGCAGCTTTCCTGGGGGTCTGTGGGGAGGGGCAGGGTGAGGCCTTGGGCACAGGGCACTCGAGGCTCACCAGCCTGTGTGACCTCAGCCTCAGGACGAACAAGGAGTGTCCAGGTGGCAGCAGAGGCCCTGCAGAAGGCTCAGCTGGTATCGTTGATGGCAGTCCGAGAGCCACCCAGCAGTCTCTCATGCTCACCCTCCTCTGCCGGGGGCCGGCCCCTGGACAGGCGGGTGAGCAGCGGGCGGTGCAGCCCGTTGTAGAGGGCGGTGCCCATCAGGAGGATGAGGAAGCCGAGGATCTGCAGTGGGTGGAAGGCCTCCCAGCCCAGTGCCAGGCTCACCGCCCAGATGACAACAGTGCGCAGGCTGTCCAGCACCATGCGAGTGGTGGCGCTCAGTTCCTTAGTGACACTGATGCCCGCAAAGTTGAAGAAGGCAATGCTGCTGATGTTGCCCAGCAGCGCCAGGGCAATGAGTGGTTGTCGGCCCACCTGGCAGAAGGCGTCCAGCGCATCCTCCAGCGTCCCGTGAGGGTTTCCACTGAAGGAGCCGGCAGGGATGTAGTACATGGGCACCAGCAGCAGGGAGAGGATCACGAAGCCAAAGAGGCCTGTGGGAGTGGAGGAAGCATATCACACTCTCCGCTCCGTCCCCAGACTCCCAGCACTTCCCACCCAGCAAGGGCTCCACTGATCTCCTGGCCACCTCTTTCTAGCGGCCCTACACCAGCTCCTTCCTTTCAGGTCCTGGAGCCGCTCCTCCCATCAGGAATTCACAACGGCCTACTGAATGGGCTCTAGCTGCCCCTTCTCCACTTTAATCCACATCTTCCAACTGGACCAAGAGTAAGAAATACATTTTATATAGTGACCAGTATACGTGTGCACAGGCGCATACAAACATGCACACTTTCATAAAACAATAGCTACCCTTATAATGTACAATGCTCTCTGACACTTTTAAATTCTATTCTATTTATTTAAAAAAGAATTGCTGGCTGCAACCACTATACTGCTCTCAGAAGTGTGGAAAAACATAGCTCTCTAATTCAGTGTCACTGGGCTGTGACAAGGAGCTGGATCAGAATGTAAATCAATGCACTGCTTCATTCAGAAAGTCTTGCTAGGAAAAAAACGAGCGGAAACAAACAGTATGCTGGATTACATGGTGGATTAACATTCTGCCGTAAGCCCTCAGCTCACTGTGGACCATGCACAAGCAGGCTCCCCGACTGGTCCACAGGCCACACTTGGTAGCACTGCTCTAATCGCTCTGCTAGTTGCATCTTTTTAAAGCATAATTTTGATAGTTACTTCCCTGCTCAAAAACCTACGGTAGTTCCTCCCTGCCTGTCATTTAAAGTCTAAATTCACTTGTCTGATGTTCAAGGTTCTTCATGATATGACTTTGACCTACTCAATGTCTCATCACTTCCCAACCTCAAACCTGTATCTCACCCTAACTATTCCTCACTGGTTTCCAAACTCATGTCCAGCTCCCCGTCTTTGCTCTGTCTGGATTTCCCTCCTTCCCACTCTTGCCTGTTGAAATCTGCAGCTCAAAGGCCACCTTCTCTGCCCCAAGACGCTCAGACACGCCCAGTAGGTGAAACATCACTTGAGCACAGGTGGTCTGAGCTAACCTGCACTGCTGCCCTTTCTCGCTGGTCAACTCCTCTAGAGTGGGGCATGCATCTCATTCATCTTTGTCCTTGTCCTCCCCTAGCTCCTGGCCATGTGCATGGCAGGTGTCAGAGTATTTGTCAACACGTATGTGGTGAAGGGAGGAAGGAATGGGGGCAGGAGGCTCACACCCTCCCAGCGGTCCAGGCACCCTGCCCTGCGCTCCCACTTGTGCATTCCCTCCACGTGCTACCCTCCAGGGTATCCCCCCAACCAGTGCCCTCCTCCCAGCTCCTGCGCCCACACACACCCTCAATGCCAACTGCCCGCAGCGGGTGCACGTTATGCTTGTAGACGAACTTCTCCTCCAGCACCATCTGGATGGAGACGATGATCTGGGCCATGACGATCAACAGGTCCCCTGTGGGAAAGGAGGGGCCCAGGGTGAGGCCAGGGCTGCACCAGGGTCGGGAGCCAGGACAGCAAGGCCAGTGGGCCACTGGCAGGGTGGCAGGCCCAGTGCTGAGGGAGACAGCTCCCACGGGGACATAACAACACTCACAGCCCCTGACTTTTGCAGGGCCCCATACAGTTCACGAGGCACAGTCATGACAGGCCCCATTTCTGAACTCCTGGCCCCTGACGGGTGGGGCAGGCCAGGAGGGCAGGCACTGTCACCCTCTCTGGGCTGAGGCTCCAGAAGGTCTGAAGGCCTGCCTGGGCCTGAGAACTGCACAGTGGGGTAGGCAGGTCTTTGAGAAGCAGCAGGCTTTGAGACACACATTTCTGGTTTAATCCTGCCTCTGAGGGACCAGGGTGGTGACTTCATTGTAACATAGGCTGCAGTGCTTCCTTCCTAGGACTGTGAGCATGGCTGTGATGATGAGCGCACAGTGCTCAGCACGGGCTGGGCACTTGGCAATTGCTCAACCAACGCTCATTCCTTCCCTCTCCCCAGCCCGGCAGTTTGTGTATGTGCGTGCATCACAGCACAAGCCCTCGCCCTCCTCCAACCTCCCCACTCCTGTCTGCCCCTCTCTCATGTGCTTGTGCCTTTCTGGTTTTCCCTACACTCTACCCATCACCTCGAGAGCAGCTGCATGTCCACGTCAGCTGGTATCCCATGAGCCCTCACCCAGGGCCGGGCATACAGGAGAGCTGGTAAAAGTCTGTTGAATGACTCTGCGCTGGGCTCCCAGGGAGGACAGGATAGGACAGGACAGGCAGCCCCTGGATCCCCGACCCCGGCCGCACCTGTGATCACTTCACTGAGCTTGTGCTGATCGTCATTCTTGCTCAGGAGGTCGGCCAGGCCAACGACGACCAGCCCCGCGATAGTCGCAAGGATGCCCAGCCACTGGCTCAGCGCCAGCCTCCGCCCCAGGAAGGCCACTGAGAACAGGCCTGTGAATATGATCACTGCTCCCCTCAGCATCTGGAAGCTGGAGGCACTGGTCATGTTCAGGGCTAGGAGAGGAGAGACACATGACATTAGCTCACGAGGGCTAAGGCTGTCTGTTCACTGAGGTGTCCTTAGGGCTGAAGACACCTCACACATAGCATGTGCTCAATAAACCTTGATTGAGAGAGAGAGTGTGTGTGTGTGAGAGAGAGAGAAAGTCTGTGGGAGAGGGGCAGAGGTGAAGTGAAGATGAGCTGGGCGTGGGGGTGGCTGTTTTACCGGTGCCCCCTCGGGCTGTGGGCTTCACTGAGCTCTTCTTGGCCTGGAGGCTACTCACCCACATACATGATGCTGGTCCCGGTCATGTCGCAGAGGGCTGGGGGCAGGAAAAGAAGGGGGTTGAAGGGCTGCTGGGGACCCACGCTGGCGTCTGGCTGCCCCGCAGCTCTGCACCGGAGCAGGTAGAAGACAGCCAGGCAGGAGAACTCTCCCAGGAACATGCCCACCGCCTGTGAGGACAGAGCCACAGGAGCTTACAGCTGGAGGGAGGGTCACCTTTAACAAAATTTTTTAACACAATCTTTCTTCAAACAAGAGCTTACCTATAACCGCAACATGTAAAGCAGACAAAAGCAGAGCTGCTGTATGGGAGAGGCAGAGACTGCCTCCTGGGTCTACCCTTAAGCCCCTGAAACACCTCAACAGACACCCTAAGGCTGCATGAGCCTGGTCTGAAAACCACCGATCTAGACCCACCCCGGTCAAGTTCCAGATGGAGAAACTGAGGTCCAGAAAGGCTGAAGAACTTATTTAAAGTCACAGAGCAAGTCGCTGGCAGAGCTGGGGCTGAAATTTGAGTCTCCCGATTCCCAGTCTAGCAACAAGGTGCCTTCCATTTACGGTGTCTGCCCCGTCCCAGTGGGGTGTGGGCTCCCTGTGGATGGAGAGCGGGTTTTGCTACTGAGGATGTTTTCCAAATGTGTCCTGACTTGGATGTGGGAGGGCTGGCCTCATGGTGCCCAGGGCATGACCGCTCACCAGGACTGGAGCAGGCTTCTCACAGAAGACTGTGCCCTCTGCCCCCTTCCAGGGGCACCCACACCCTGCCTTTGTCCCAGGGAGAGAGAGAGAGAAGTGGATGGTTCTTCTGGGAGCAGGGGAAGGCTCCACCCCTAGCTCAGGAAACAGCAGGGCCTCACGGGGGATGCCTGGCTTGAGGCCTGGGAGACGGGAGGTGTGGAGGGACGGGGTAGATACCTGGAGGAAGGGATGCTGGAAGCTGTGTTCCTTGCTCCCTCCACAGCCCTGGGCCACGAAGTTGTCCGCCCACCTGCAGCGGAGAGAGAAGGTCAAACCCTGGCCATGTGGCGGGCTCTGTGACCCCAGCCCTGCTGACAAGCTCGCTCCTCTCAACGCCAAGAGGCCAGACGGAGGGGCCTGGGCTCAGAGGGGCTCCCTCTCCAGGAGGCCAGTGTCCACAGCAAGGAGTCTTCATCTGGGATTGTGGACTGAATGTTGGGGCCTTGAGCTGAAGTTGCATGAACTTTAACTGAAAGTTAGCATTTCCTCAAATCCTGAATGTAGTATTGCAGTACCTGTGACTTTGTCACACAGAAATCACAGCTCTTCTCATTATCACACTAGAGTCCTTGTGGATATCGTGAAGTATCATTTACACTCATCACTATTCCAAAATTACAGTAATTAGACCCACTGCTTATAGTTTTGTGTTAAGAAGTATATACATACATATATTACTATCTCACAACTTTGCTTTTTTAATGTTTAATAACTTTATTTCAATATAATTGGCTTTTCCTATAATCCTTGGTCTTTTATTTGCACATTTTTTTTTTTTGGAGGAAGATTGGCCCTGAGCTAACATCTGTTGCCAATCTTTCTCTTGTTCTTTTTTCTCCCCAAAGCCCCAGTACACAGCTGTATATCCCAGTCGTAGGTCCTTCTAGTGATTCTATGTGGGACGCCGCCTCAGCGTGGCTTGATGAGCGGTGGGTAGGTCCATGCCCAGAATCTGAACTGGCGCACCATGGGCTGCTGAAGAGGAACGCACAAACTTAACTGCTACGCGACTGGGCCAGCCCCTTATTTGCAGATTCTAAAACAATACTCTAGGCTTCACCAGACTATCAAAAGGATCCATGGCACAAAAAATATCAAGAGCCCCTGGCACACAAGCGCACTTGGGCCCTGGGAAATGACTGCCTGACACAGCCCACCTGGTCCCCTTCATGTAACCTCAAGGGTTTGGAGGGTTTTTCGAGCGCTGACTCTAAAGCAGGTGGCAAGTACGGCACTAGTGGAGCGGCCTCGCAGCCAGCACCCTGGCAGATGGCATAATTGATTACGGCACGCTTCCCCGCGGAGCCCAGACACATGCCCAGAATCCTTTGCGGCATAGCGCTCCGGGCAGCTATCACCAATCACTCTGCACTGTCCGCCATCCATGCACTAAAGCTCCCATTCCTGAATTTCATTTTTGCTGGGCTTTGTTGTGTCCCTGGGGTCTAGTCTGATCTCTCTTTCACTTGAAAGCCCTTCAGATATTTGGTGACTTTTCCAACTTCTTCTGAACCTTGTCATCTCCTGGCTAAACAGCCCCAGCCCTTCTAACCTTTCACACCCCTGACTGCTGACTTCTGGAAGCGCTCCGGGGGGCCCAGGTCCAGAGCCAAGGCCATGTGATCTGGCCCAGACTGAGTCTAGCAAGACAGTGGCCCCTCCCTCACGCTGGACATCCTGGATTAGTTGACACACTTCTACTGCGTCCACCACATCGCACTGCTGACTCAAGTCAACGCAGACCCAGGGCTGCTCCTTGCAGGCTACTGACCTGCTCCCTCTGCAGCACCCCACATGCAGGTGGCTGTCTCTCAAGTACAAGACTCAGGACTTCTTTTTCTTAAATGTCTTTCCTTGCAATGTCCGTCAAGAGCAGCCACATTGTAGTGCCCAGCCCTACTCCCCGCTGGCTCATCTCTGCCACAAGCCTGAGCTCCCTAAGGGCAGGGGAGCCTTCTGCTTCCTGTGCCGCGAGCACGGGCCGCTGGTTGTGCCAAGCTGGTAGAGTCTGGGGTTGACAAAAATCCTGTTCAGCCTTGGCTTCTCTGTGCCCTGAGTTTAGGGAGGGGAACGGGGAGCTCTTGCCCACAGCCCAGGGCAAGGGCATGATGCCCTGATGCTGGCAGTGGGGAGGGTGGGCTCAATGGTGGTGGTAGCACAGACCTGTGAAGGAGAGACCAGGTCTACTCAGATCTGAACACATCCTAGGGTGAGTGAACAGAGAGAGGCCTACAGCAAACTCATCTCACAGTGAGAGACCCCATGCATGCCCGGAGTTGTAGAGAGGGGCAGTTAGAGGGCTTGTGGTTCTTGGGAGTGGTGGGGGTCAAAGGAGAGCTGAAGGGCGGGGAGAGGTTCTGATATGACTGGTTGGGAAGGCAGAGAGAAATCTGGGGCCCTGCCTGAGTCAGGGGACCAGGCTGTAACCAGTCCCAGTACCAAGGGGGCAAAGAAAGCCCCCACTACCGAATAGAAACCACCTGCTCTGTGGGGTCTCATTTCGGCCTGATTTGCTGCCGGTTCTGGCTCTTGGATCCTCAGGCAGGACAGGACATGAGATGTGGGTGCGGGCCACACACCAACCGTGTGGCTCACCCCGGCAGGCCTGCTCTCCAACCCAGCCAGACTCACTTTTGCGGAAAGAGCCCTCTGGGAGGGCTGGGGGTGAGGCGACTGGGCAGAACAGAGAAGAGAGAAGAGGTCAAGTTTTACCAGTGGCGCAGAGCCAAGTGCCCCAGGGCAAGCGAGACGGTCAGAGAGACGGGAATTCCCGAGGTTGGAGCCAGGGCTCGTCCAGGAGGGAACAAGGAAGGTCCTGCCAAGTCCATGAAGAGCAACCAGAAGCCTAGGACAAGGGCAGGTGTGGAAGCCCCTTCCTCTTCTTGGGGCCACACCCACGGCACAGATCGGCAGGCTCAAAATGACCCCCAGATCTAGTGGTGGAGCCACCTCCCATGACTCCCTTTGGGTCACCGCCAACACAGCCTACAGTAATGACAACTCACATCCCTATCACTTTCTGGTTCCAGAGTCACTGTCACTTGAGAGTGTGAGCTTGGCATCCAGCAACTTCCACATCTCTCAATCCCCTGCTCCTGGAACATTACTAAACAGAAGCTCAAACATTTTTTTACTGAATGAATGGGGCTTTCAGACTTTGAGACTGAGCAAATAGGCAGGTACTCCAGTCCAGAGGCATTGTCTCCATGAGTCCTCATTTCTCACCTGGTCTGAAGTGCCCCCTGCTGGTGGGACAAGCTGGGCCTGTCCTTCCACAGCGTGGGGCACCGTGTGGGGAGCTGGCTATAGGGCTCGTGCTGAGCTCCCTCCCCTCCTCCAAGGGCATGTCTGCTTTCTCCAAGGGCTGGGTCTGCCTGAACACGTTGGGGCTGGCAGCGTTCCCAGCTGGGGAAATGGAATCTTTTTGTATCTGAGGGCCTGGGGCAGGCTTGCAGCCCAAGATTGAGTGTCAGGGACAGGTTGCCCTGCCCAGCCTCTCTTCAGGCCAGGGAGGAGAGCAGGCCTGCAGGCACTTGGGGACAGAGTCAGGCTTCTGACGGGAAGACATCTGAGGGAGTCCTGGCCCTGAGACAGACTTGGGCTCCTTGTGCAGGCACAGAGGACCCCAGGTAGCACAGAACAAGAGCCAAAATCCAGCCCCAGTTCATCTGCGGATGACAGAGTCTGACCCCTAAGGTGGGCTAGCACTCGGCTATTTGCAAAACACTTCACTAACATGTTTTTATAAACGTACAATTCATTGAGCACTGACTTTGTGCCAGGCCTGTGCGGAGCACTTCACGTGGGTTGTCTGGTTGAAGCCTCACGACAGAGATCCTTGTTTTACAGACGAGGACTTCAAGGCTGGGGCGGAGGTGTGGAGAGAGCTGTGCTCAGGCTCATATGGGTAACAACGGGTGGATCTAGGACCAAACCCATCTGCTTGAATTTACAGTCAGGAAAGGCAGCAGGACCCATGGAAAGCTCAGACTTTTGAGTCTCACAGGCTGGACAAGTTATAGGTTTCTCATCTATAAAATGGGGATAATAATGCCAACACTGAAGAACTGTCAGAAGTAATAAATAAGATAAACTATATGAGACCAGGAACATGGCAGGTATTCAATAAAAGTTCTTTTCTGCCCCTTCTCCCTCCTTCCCCTCTATTGAGCAGGAGCCATCTCCCCTTGTGTTGGGTCAGCGTGGCCCTGCTCTGCTCCAGCCTGAAAGCTTCTGGGAGAGCATCCATTCTGGGACCCACCCTGCTGGCTGAGGCACAAAGTGCTGAAAGAGAAGAAACTCAGCCATCATCTCACGAAGCTCCTTATTCGACAGACGAGGAACCCAGGGACCAAGGAGGGCTCGAGGGACACAGGGCTTGTACCCACGACTCTCCACCTCCAGTTCTGTGTCCCCTCCTCAACACCTGAAGTTCTCCTATCACCTCTGACTCCAGATTCTTCCCATCACCCTGGCTGGAGCGGGAAGAGGGTCAGCCCTGCAGATGGGCCCTCCGTTCTCTCTAGATACTGTATCCTGGGGAAAGCCCTGGTCTCCAGGGTAGGAAGCCTGTGGGGACCCAGCAGGGTCAGGCTGAGGCCGCATGAGGAGTGCCCTCTGCTGGCAGAGGCCAGCTTCTTTTACAGTTCCCTGGGTCTCGGCGGGCTGAGGGGTGGGCTCAGGGTAGGACCCAGCTGTCTCAGACTCCAGGGTCTGCCATTACTGAAAGGCTCAACAGGGACCACATTGTCCTGCCCCTCCATTTGCAAATGAGGAGACTTGATGCACAAAGCTGAAATAATGTGTCCAAAGTCATACAAGGAAAAGTGGCGGTGAGTCACTCTGGCGTGGCCTCGCCCAGTCAAACTCAAAGCTCAGCATTGTGAGAGATATGGGCGTGTGTGTGGGGGTGGTGGAGAGACTGAGGAAACGGCTGATGTGGCTCAGACCGATTAGCTGTGTGTCCGTTCCCTGCATAATCTCTGCCATTTCCTCTTGCATTGTGGGCGAGAGGAAGCCTCGTGAGTCAGCTTCTTTCTCCTGCCTGGGATCTTCAGAAGGGCCACAGGCCTTTTCTACGCTCTGGGGTGGCAAAGCAGGTGGCCCTAGCTTACTAGTGACAAAGGATGATGAGCCCTCTCATCTCTGAGTATTAGAAAACCTTCCTCAGTAGATCCTACCTTGTGTCTGGGAAGAAGGTGGGGCAGGGATCATCATGCCCATTTTACAGATGAAACTGAGGCTTAGAGAGGTCCAGTGACTCATCTAATCTCACAGCTGCCAAGCCTCATGCTCTTTCCACTCTACTACACTGCCCTCCTGATTTAAGGCTTTCTCCAGCTGGCCCAGGAACCCCTTTGAAGCAACTGTCCCATGCCAGCTCATGGAACCCAAGGGTGGGGACAGCTGCCAAGGCAAAAGTTAGAGCTGGCACAGACAGGACAGTCAGAGTCCTTCCCTAATAGAAGCCCAGTGGTCCCAGGCCTCCTGCCACCTTCCTGGCAGGGTCCCTGGACCCAGCAGGCCTGACTATTGGAGGGGAAGTCACCCCCATGGCCCCTCCCTGGCTGAGTGGGCTTCACAGCCTGCAGAAGTTTCGGAGGGGATCTGAGCCTTACTTAATGAGCATCCACTTGCTCTGGGCTCTTTACATGCAGAACCCCAGCAGGATTCAGGAGAATGGGCTCCAAAATGGGCATGACCTTATGGACAGGCACCGATTCAGGCAGACAGCCCCAAGCAGTGCCTGAGGAGGGCAACATGTTTGGTCTCTAGGAGAAGCCTCAGCAGAAGGTCCTGGCGAGGGATGAGAAAGCAGCCACAGAAAGGAGAAGGAGCCACTTCACAGGGAGAGGCCCTCTGCCAAGACCAGAGATGGGGGTAAGGGCCAGCCTGACTGGTAGCTTTCCCTCCTACAGGTATGTGACCCCTGTCCCCATCCTAGCCAGGGCAGGCCCGTCTCCCTGCAGTGCCCCCAAACCTGCTGAGTGGGCAGAGTGGCCTCCTCCAGCGGAGAGCTGACCTGTGGCCCCAGCAGAGCAGGCAGCACGTGCTCACACCCACTTCCTCACCCACTCTCTTTAGTCCTCCCAGAAACCCAGGGAGAGATACATTATGATTTTATAGGCCAAGAAACTTCAAGAGGCTACTAGAGACTCTAAACCTTGAGTGGCCTCTGGCTCCAGGGGAAAACAAGCAGTGTGACAGCAGGGTCCCCTGGGCTGGGACAGAGGCTTGCTGCCCAGTCCCAGAGGGAGGGCACCCTGAGGGCAGGGAGGGGAGATGCCACTTATAAGATTACAATTTCCATGGGCACATGCTTGTCTTTGTTTGGGAGAGGTGAGAGAAAATCCCCAAGGAAGAGGGACTTTGGGTACTGCAGTTGAAGAACAACAGGACTGGACTAAAATGCTGAGACCTAGGTTCCGGTCCCTGCTGACACCAACCAGCTGAGTCACAAAAAGAAACTTCTCTTGGGACCTCGACTGTAAATTGTGGGAATGAGAATGGATGATTTTTATGTTTTTAACAACTCTAAATGCCCCGAGAAATGGCTAGAGAAATCCCCAGCTTCATCCCATAGTGGTGGTGGAGAGCATGGATTCCAGAGCCAGACCACTTAGGCGCCAATATAAACTCTGCCACTTAACAGCTGAGTTGAACTTGGGCAAATAACTGCATCTTTCCATACCTCAGTTTCCTTATCTGGGGACAATGAGTTTATCTGCCTTACAGGGTGGTTATGAGAACTCATTAAATTCACACACGGGAGGCCACCAGAGCAGGACCTGGCACATGGAGCTCTCTGTGTATTAGCTGGTTAGCACCTGTTGTGGTCACATTCTTGTCTGTCTGTCCCTGACAGAAACTGGAGGTTGGAATGTGATTTCAAATTGATAATTCCCATCAGGATGTACACAGCCGCTCTCCCATGTTCTTTCTCTCTGAGAGTGTCCTTCTCACAGCCTGGCCTTAGAACACTGTTTAGGATCCAATTCTTGGGCCTGTCTCAGATAGGGAGGATCCTGAAAGGCCCCACATCAGGCTACAGGGCAGGGGACAGGACCAAAGGTTGGGTCCCCTCCTGGGAGCCTCTTTCTTGCCTCTCTGGCAGCTTTCAAAGGCAAGGCCTCCTGGGACTGAGGATCCCCTGGCTTCCTACCTGCCCGGTTTGGAGCTTTTTAAGGAAGGAGCTGAGTTAGCACAGTTTACCCCAGTAGTAACTGGCTATCTCAACGCTCCTTGGGGACAGAAGCCTTGGCAGACCTACAGCCACTCTCTAAGCACTTGACTGAGGTGTTGCCTGGTGCAACAGATAGATGGATGGATGGACGACTTGTTCTGCTTCGTTTAGATCTTAAGTGAGATGGAAGCCCTCAGGTTGAGTCTCCTTTATAACTAAGGCCTCAGGGGGCCGGCCCCATGGCTTGGCGGTTAGGTACGTGCGCTCCACTGCTGGCGGCCCGGGGTTCGGATCCCGGGCACGCACCGACGCACCGCTTCTCCGGCCATGCTGAGGCCGCGTCCCACATACAGCAACTAGAAGGATGTGCAACTATGACATACAACTATCTACTGGTGCTTTGGGGGGGAAAATAAATAAATAAATAAATAAAAATTTATTAAAAAAAAAAACTGTTAAAAAAAAAAAAATAACTAAGGCCTCAGCAGAAGGAGTGACCCTCCAGGAGGCCGAAGGGCCCAGGAGACCAGCATAAGACACAGATGCAGACACACACTCAGCTGGCCAGAGCCCAACCAGAGAGATAGGAGGGCCCCATCCAGAGCTCCACTTCCTTTGGAGAAGGGAGGACACTGTGATTGACAAGTGTGTACACATCTGTCTCCTCCACCTCAGATTCTAATCATCTCAAAGACCTTCTCTTGGTCACTTCTGTCTCCTTCCCCAAATCCAGACAGTGCCTCCCACACTGTAGGTGCCTTATACATGGCCGATGAACTGAGCAAGGTACTTCTCTCCCAGACCTCTCTTTGGGGGCATTTCTCACACCACTGATGGAGTGTGCTAGGAACAAATGCTTCAAAAATGAATAAGATATGACCAGCTCCCCAGCACCCCTGTGCCCGGGGGGCCTGAAGCACAGCCTCGAGGGTATTGGGGTGAATCCCCCTTGCTCTGGAGCCTGGCAGGACCAGATGGAAGTGAGGTCTGACTGGGAGAGGGCCACTGTCCACTGTTCTGCACGTGCACTTTGGAATCGGTTCAGAAAAAGGCCAGGCTCTGGGTACTGGGGCTCTGAGACGGTGAACAGAAGGGGCAGGAAGGCCCTGCCGGGAGGTGGGGGCAGAGAAAGAGACAAATTACTGCCAAAAGAGGGGCTGCTGCCTGGGCCTCCTTGCACATTACAGGCAAGAGGCTATGCTTGGTCCCTCAGCCTCATGACAGCCCTGGGTCCTCAATCTCCAACCTCCTGGGGACTGTCCTCACTGTCCCACGCGCATCTCATTCTCATCCATCAGAGCTCAACTGCCCGCCTGCCCTCTCTGTCTAGGTTAATGACACTCCTGTTCTCCCAGCAGAAACCTTGGAGCGATCAGTGTCTCTTGAGCCTGTGGGTCAGGCCTCCTGGCTTCATTCCGTACCTGGTCTCTCCCACCTGTCCGTCCTTTCCTGCCTCACTGCCGCCTCCTGGTTCCCCTCATCTGCTATGCAGCAGCCTTGGAGTGGTTTTGCCTGCACCCAACTCTTCTTCACCTTGACCACCAGGTTCACTATATCGCATTTAACATGTCACTCCCTGCTCAAAGCTCCTCTGTGATTATGGGATAAAATCTGGCCTGGGCATTTGGAGCCAGTTACAATCCACTTCATCTGGCCTTGCTGTTTCCTGCCTCGATGTCCCCGCCACGTGTAGAAATCCCACCCAAACTTCAAAGCCCAGCTGTAACCCTTCCTCCACGAGGGGCCCATGGGGCACACCCTTCTCTGTCGCCGCAGCCCTCCACCCTCACGTTCAGTCGCATGGCCTCTACTGTAGCTCCCGTGCACAAATCTGGGAGCCTCCCTCCACCCGCGGCCCAGAGGCGGGGCCTCCGACGCCAGCGCTGGAAGGGGTCGGGGAAAGGAGACGGTCCAACCCTTGCGTTTAAAGATGAGGAAACTGAGGCGCGGAGGCTGGAGGTGACTCGCTGGGATCAAGCACAAAGCAATCAAGGCACGGCCTCGCTCTGTATTTCCCAGCCCTCGCACCCCTGGGGTGGTCCATGAACCGCGGAACCGACTGGAGAAACTGGGCCAGCCAGCGAAGCCGGGAAAGGAGAGCCGAGAAGGGGGAGGACGGGGACGGGGCGCGGGGGTCGCCAGCGTCCGCGCGCCGCCGCAGGCCCGGCAGAGCCCCCTCCCCTCCCGGCCCGGCCCAGACTCACTTTGCCGAGAGCGTGTTGATGGAGCCGGTGACGAGCATGAGCCCGGCCAGGAACAGCTGGTACTTCGTCCAGGCCATGGCGGCGGATGCGGGGAACGCGAAACCGCAGGGACCCCCGCGACCTCCGCGCTCGCTCCACGGAGCGACGCCCGACCTCGTCACCCGGGGGTCTCGTGTGCGAGCGCTTCCGGGCCCGACGTCACGTGACCCGCGCCGGTCCCGCCCCTCGCCGGCTCCCTCCGCCCCCGGGGAGGGCGCCGGGCCGGGCTCCTGCCAAGCTGCGGTGGCTGTACCCTGCAGGGCTGGAGCCGGGCGCACTGGCGCACTGACACAATGGCAAGCCACAAGCCCAGATCTCCCCGTTTGTAAAAGGGGCTAATGGGACGATGCGGTGAGAATGCATCGTGGATGTTAGAGCGTTTGTAAAGCGTTTGAGAGGTTGAGCTGAACGATGTCAAACCACACAGTGGAAACGTCCAGCGTGGGAATCGCCTTTCTACAGGTGCCCAGGGAACCCCGGGAGGCCTGGGACGTGTCCCTAGGGATCCCAGCCCGCGGTGTTGCTCACATCTTCTAGAAAAGTGGCTTAGGAATCTAGTTCCTGCTCCCTGGGAGACCATTTTATAGCTGAGGAAATTAAATAGAGAGAAGGCAAGTGATTTGCTTATGATCATGCTGGTGAGTGATGGAGTGAGGGTCTGCAGACTCTTGAGGGACGCAGATTCTTGAGGCTTCCCTAGATCCGTGCCTTCTGCACAGCGCCCCACCAAGCCCTGCCCCACTGCTCCTTCTCGGATTCCCTGGATGCTGCTCAGAGGCATCCATAGTAGAAAGACCATCCCTAGCGTTGTTTGCGAGGATTTCTGGCTTTTAAAATCCTACTTCTGGTTCTCAGCCCTCAGATGTCCTCTGTCTTCTTCTCTAGGCCTCTAGTCTGCACCCCATGCCCTGTCATGCCACAGGCTGGAGCATAAGGCCTTTGAGGAACTGCTTCAGACTCAATGAGCACATTTCCCCCTTACTGCAGATCTTGTTACCGGAGGTGCAGAGCTAGGGCCTGTCTGCCAACTCCTGCTTGCCCTAAGACTGCCTTGAACTTGTGAAAATCACCAGTGTTGAATCAGAAAAACTCTCAAGGGACTGCATCAGACCCCTTTATGGCAGGAAGACCTGACAGAGAAGGTGTACAAGTAGGGTCCTGGACAGAATGTAGGAGGTCACTGGATAGACAAGGGAAGGGCTTTCCTGGAGATGGGAATGGCGTGGGCGATGCACAGAGGTGTGAGTGGATGTGGAGCATGTCTGGGACCCACAGACTATGGGGGAACTTTCCTTCACTGGAGCCTGCTCTCTTCAGTCAGTGTGGGAGAGGGGAGACCCAGAGGGAGGTTTCTTCTGAGCTTCTTGCCCTCAATAACACCACTAGTTTCATGTGATTTAAAAGGAATCCATTCAGTTATCTAAAAACATTTACCGAGACACTGGGGCCTGAAGAAATGAATGAAACACAACTTCTGTCCCAAGGGGCAGCCCAGTGCAGTCCACACCAGCTGGATAGCCCTATCCCCATTGGAGGCAGTTCCTACAGGCTACAGTGACACACTCAGTGGGTCATGTGTCCCACATGTGTCCAAGCCAAGGATACTATTCTGAAGTAAACATTACTAATGATCAGTGGTGTCACCTGCCCGACATGATGTCACTAGCAGCACAGTCTTTGTCTGTCTCTACAGCCACATCATAAAATGAATTTTAATTTATCACAGTGTTCTGACCATTCATCAAAATGCTGTCCCTGGAGACAGGAGGATTTATTTGCAAATATGCATGGAGCCCACTAAGTGCCAGGCTCAGAGCCAGGTATGAGGCCACCAAGACAAGTGAGACAAGGTCCCTGCTTTCAAGGAGTTCTGGATTTTATGGAGGAGAAGGGCGAGCACACTGGTAACTGTGCAGCCATGTGAGGATGGAGGCAGAGGGAGTTGGGAAAGTGATGGATTCCCCAGGAGGCGGGGGAGCTGGGGCATGACAGTGACAATCAGAGCTGACCTGGATCAGGTGCCCGGTCTGTGTCCGCTTGTGCTGGGAACTTGACCACTGTGGCCTCAGTTCTCACGGCAGCCCCATGTGCTGGAATTCAGGGGAGATTTGAGCAAGGGCTTGAAGGAGGAGCAGGATTGCTCCAGGTGGAGAAGGGGGTCATTCTGGGCAGAGACCACCATGTGGACATCAGGGGGTGGCCAGCTAGCCTTCACAGTGGGGAGTGACCTACAGTGAGGCTCCAGGTCTCGGCCAGCCTGGCTAAACTGCGCTTTACAGGTGAAAACTAGGGTTGACACTAGTGTCCACAGGTAGCAGCGAGCCTGGGATTAAGGACTCGGAGCCTCAGGAGATGGCAGTTCTGAGGGAGGTAGAGAGGAATCAGGGTGGGTATGTTCATACATAGGCTTTGCAAACGCCTTTGGATTATTATTTGATGAAATTCAGGGATAAAGCTTAATGTGTACATTGGATACAAATTTGCCTCATAATTTTGGAAGCCCTGATTTCATGGGTTAAATAACATGTCCACAAACCAAACCTTAAACTTTCTGAGCCTTTAGAAGATCAAACGTGGGCCAGCCTTCTTTGTGTGGGAATGTCGGCCATCAGAGGGGCAATGTTTCCCTAATTGCTCAGATTTGATCATCCTGATTAAAGGCTACAGCTTGCCAGAAGATCATGAAGATCAGAGGTACATGAAAGGGAGCAAATTTAGCAAATTGTCAGCAAAAGGAGGAAAATTTACTGAGTGTTAGGGGTGCCCCTTCCACAGAATCCTTATGTGTGGATGGGGCGGTGGACTGAGATAGGAATTTCTTCATGTACCCCTAAGAGTGCAGAATCTTCAGGAGTGGAAACGACATCTGTGCAAGTTGTCCCAGACTAGGGGAGAGAGGGCAGCTTCAGGCTGGAAGGTGTCTACCACTTAGAGCAAAGCGACCATGGTTCAGTCGCTTCATCACTCAGAGCCCTACTTTCCCATCTGTAAAATGGGAACACTAATATTCACAGCTTGTTGTGCAGAGGGATGGAGGACAGTTGTGGAAGTGCGGTGGGAGGCCCCACCAGGAGAATTAGCACAGCTGCTGTGAGGTCAGGGCCCGTCTAGCAGAGAGGTACAGAGAGGGACCTCAGGCTGTGCGTTCAAAAGAACTTCTCATGATTTGCATAAGGGCATGATTCAGTCTTTGGGCCTTTTCTCCCAAAGTCGAGGACATTTTGAACAAATTTGCATGCTACCTTCAAAGAGCATCTAATTTCCGGAGTCAAATAAAATGCGTCACTGCAAAACCTTGCATTTGTATTCAAAGCTTACTGCCAGCCTGTGGCTTGTCTGAAAGGTTGAACATTTTCTCAATCAATTTAATCACATTCTGGATTAGGAGAGAGTTATTTTACCTTGGGAAGGACAGAGGCAGTCCAGGTCAGGCCTGTTTTGTTTTGAACAAGTTTTTGCTATGTGTCCTTGGGCTATTTCCCTCCTCTGTAGCCTGTTCCCCTGCTAGAACGTGACCTTCTCATGGGCAGGTGACAAAGATTCTTTGCTTGACCAAACTTTGGTCAAGCTCCTGAACCTTCTCCTAGGCCCATCTGTGCACTTCCTTATAAAATCCAGTTTTAGCAAGAACTCTGCTAAGTCAGGTTAACCAGACCTCTCCCCCACTCCATATCTGATCTCCTTCAATATCTGATCAGGTTCCTCATCCTCCACCACCCCCAGGGGATGTCTGATCACCCTGGCCTGTCTTCAGCAAGAATCCTGTTAGGTAAGTTTAGCCAGAACCCCCCTTACCCCTGATGTTTCTTATTAATAATTTTCCATCCATTGACACCCACTCTGCTCCTTGTCTGTAAATTCCTACTTGCCCCTGCTGTATTCAGAATTGAGTCCTGTTCTGTACTGAGGTTTCTTTTCTCCTGTTGTGATAGTCCTGAATAAAATCTGTTTTTATTGCTTTAACTGTCCAGCTGTGGTTTTTCTTTGACAGAGAACTGGGTATCCGCTTGCCTGCCTCTCCCAACAGAGTGGACATTGCAGCGCAGCCATCTGAGGCTGTGGCTGGGAAGAGGAGCAAGGGCCTTGGGAGGAGGGGGATAGGGTGAGGTCCCGGCTGTCTCCTGGGAGAGAAACTTAGACAACGGAACCAGGCCTGATGGGACCTCACTGAGGAAGGGAATGTGGATGGTCTGTACTGGAGGAAAGGTGGTAGATGTTCACTAGCTCTTTCCAGTTGACTTTACAGCTGGTTTCTATGGTGACCAGAGATGATTAGATCAGGAGTCACCTGCTCCTTCCAGCTTCAGGCCCTCATAAGGTCATTCCCAAACCTTCGCTTTTTGCCTTTCTTTCTTAACATCTTCTTTGGCCCCTAACACCGTCCCATCAGAGCTGATTACCAGCCTTGGGTCGGGTCACTGGTGTTTGGCTTGTTTGTCTGGGTGCAGCATCAAGTCAGATCCAGATAAAGCACGGACTCCTAGTTAAATTTGATTTCAGATATATTAAACAATATTGGGGAAATACTTATACTAAAAAAGTGATTCATTATTTATCTGAAATTCAAATTTAATTGGGCATCCTGTATTTCCTTTGCTAAGATGGGAACCCTGCTGGCCTGTCACCCAGCTCACTGCCCTCGCTCAGCGAGAGTGAACTGTGATGGCAGCTGCATTGAATTGGTGGGTCGCAGGCGAATATCTTCCTTTGAATATGCTGTTGAGTAAGCTCATGATATTTTCTTCTTCTGACTCTAAGTTTCTAAATTGACACCAGCCTCCTTGGGGGTGGGCTTCGCACTGGGGACCCCCCATGCTCCTGTGTTTAACACCCTCTGACTAGTGGTGAGGGACGGGGGCATCTGTGGGAGATTTTGGGGCACAGACAGGGTTGAGAACTCTCTCTTTTTTGTGTATAGTTTCAGGGTATTCCCAGACCCCAAGCAGCCCAGGCACGGATCCTCCCTGAGAGAACTTCTCATCCAGTCCAACTCTCTCACTTTTCATGTTAGGAATCCCAGGCCCAGAAAAGAGGTTACTTGCCCAGGTCAATAGTGAGTGACTTGTGAGCTGTATTTATTTGTGATGTATGTTTGTGTGTATGTATGTATTTATTTATTTGGATTCAGTTTTTATTAATTTAGTTTAAACCAGATAGTAATAAAAAAAATTCACTGACCCTATATATGCTTAATTACATTTAAAAGAATAAAACCTGTGAACAAACTAACTGAAAAAAGATATTTTTGAAATATTTGGGAGAAACTGAACATGGTCTGGATAACGAGTTATTGTACTTTTATTGCTTGTATTAGTTTCTTATTGCTGCTGTAACAAATCTCCACAAACATCGTGGTTTAAAACAACTCAAATTTATTATCTTACTGTTCTGGGAGTCAGAAGTCTGAAATTTCGTCACTGGGTTAAAATCAAGAACTATTTCTTCTGGAGGCTCCAGGGGAGAATCTGTTTCCTGGCCTTTTCCAGCTTCTAGAGGCTGCCTGCATTCCTTAGCTCCTGGCCGCACAGCACCCTGACCTTTGTTTCTGGCATCACATCTCCTTCTTTGACTCTGACCCTCTTGCCTCCGTCTCATAAAGACAAAATCCTTGTCGTTACATTGTCCCCCCCGGATAATCCAGGCTAACTCCCATCTCAAGAGCCTTAATTTCGTCGTATCTATGACTAAAGTCGTGTAAGGTAACGTATTCACAGGTTTTGGGAATTAGGACATGAACATCTTTAGAGGGACCATTATTCTGCCTACCACATTTGTGATAGAGGTGTCTTGATTACATTAAAAAAAAGGTCCTTGGTGTTGGGAAAACTGGACAGCCACATGCAAAAGAATGAAAGTGGACCATCTGCTATCGCCATTCACAAAAATTAACTCAAAATGGATCAAAGACCTGAAGGTGAGACTTGAAACTATAAAACTCATAGAAGAAAATATAGGCAACACACTATTTGACATTGGTTATAAAGGAATCTTTTAGGATGACATGCCTACCCAGACTAGGGAAACTAAAGAAAAAATAAACAAGGGGGGCTTTATCAGATTAAAGAGATTCTACAAGACAAATGAGACCAGAATCAAGATGAACAGACAACACACCAGCTGGGAGAGAATATTTGCAAAACCTACGTCTGACAAGGGGTTGATCTCCATAATATATAAAGAACTCACACAACTGAACAACAGAAAAACAAACAACCCGATCAAAAAATGGGCAGAGGAAATGAACAGACACTTCTCCAGAGAAGATATACAGATGGCCAAAGGGCACATGAAAAGATGTTCAACATCACTAATCATCAGGGTAATGCAAATCAAAACAACACTAAGATATCACCTCACACCCGTTAGAATGGCTATAATTGCCAAGACAAAAAACAGCAAATGTTGGAGAGGATGTGGAGAAACAGGAACCCTCATACACAGCTGGTGGGAATGCAAACTGGTGCAGCCTCTATGGAAAACGGTGTGGAGATTCCTCAAAGAATTAAAAATAGAGATGCCCTATGATCCAGCCATCCCACTACTGGGAATCTATCCAACAAACATGAAATCAACAATCCAAAGAGGCTTATGCACCCCTATGTTCATTGCAGCATTATTCACCACAGCCAAGAAGTGGAAGCAACCTGAGTGTCCCTCGACTGACGATTGGATCAAGAAAATGTGGTATATATATGCAATGGAATATTACTCAGCCATAAAAAAAGGACAAAATCGTCCCATTTGCGACAACATGGAGGGGGCTGGAGGGTATTATGTTAAGTGAAGTAAGCCAGAAAGAGAAAGACAAACACTGTATGATCTCACTCATATGTGGAATATAAACAAACACATGGACAGAGAAAACTGTATTGTGGTTACCAGGGGGGGGAGTGGGCACAAGGGGTGAAGGGAGACGTATATATGGTGATGGACAAACAAAAATGTACAACCCAAAATTTCACAATGTTAAAAACTATTAAAACATCAATAAAAAAAAAAAAAAGAGGTCCTTGGCTGTCAGAGGGTGAAGTAATTACAGGTGAAATGGTTTGCTTTAAAATGCTC